GCGCAAGCTGTAAATTTTACAGTACGTAACGCGGGTTCGATCCCCGCCGACACCAATTAAATTGTTAACTGCAATTTTAAGTGTTTATTCTATTGACACACTTACTTTTCCTTCTGTTATTTTCTTACGTGTGTATGATTTAGTGTTAACAAATTATATTTAAATATTTTGTGTGTGTATATGATTAAGCCGTGGTAGCTCAGATGGTTAGCGCAAGCTGTAAATTTTACAGTACGTAACGCGGGTTCGATCCCCGCCGACACCAATTAAATTGTTAATTGCAATTTTAAGTGTTTATTCTATTGACACACTTACTTTTCTTTCTGTTATTTTCTTACGTGTGTATGATATAGTGTTAACAAATTATATTTAAATATTGTGTGTGTATATGATTAAGCCGTGGTAGCTCAGATGGTTAGCGCAAGCTGTAAATATTACAGTACGTAACGCGGGTTCGATCCCCGCCGACACCAATTAAATTGTTAATTGCAATTTTAAGTGTTTATTCTATTGACACACTTACTTTTCTTTCTGTTATTTTCTTACGTGTGTATGATTTAGTGTTAACAAATTATATTTAAATATTGTGTGTGTATATGATTAAGCCGTGGTAGTTCAGATGGTTAGCGCAAGCTGTAAATTTTACAGTACGTAACGCGGGTTCGATCCCCGCCGACACCACTTAAATTGTTAATTGCAATCATGTCTGAGAAAATTTCGAAGGCATGTGAAGTTCGCCAACACGCATTGAGACCGCGCCGCGGACATTTCCTAGCCATAAATACAAAGACAATAGCAGAAAGTAAAAAGTTAAAAAATACTTTTTTAACAATGACAGTCATTAGTTGATCATTAGTGAATGTGATTCTGTTTTCTTAAATTACAGGAAGAAAAGAGCAGAAGGAAGAAATGGGGTGATGGGAAGTAATGAAGAATGAATTGTTATGTGAAGTTTGTTGGAACAAACATATTTTAGTCACGTGTAAATACTTTTAACATTTTGGTTCAAAATGACACAAAATCTAAAAAATATTAGATACATCATCGACATGGACGGATTTTACATTACATATCCTCATAAACATTTTCAATGTAGAGAAATGGCTATTCTAGACGTAAAACTATCTAATAAAAATGATTCGTTTATCGATCATTATTTGTTTCAGCCAAGTTATCTTTTCAATTATTTGTCGCCAAAAGACAAAAAAACTGTTCGTTATTGTGAAATACACGTGCACGGCATTCCATATTTTGATGTGACCGAAGAATTAAAATGTGCCTACAAACAAGAGAACATCATTCCCATATTAAATTGGTATATTAGAAATTTGTGCAAAGACGAAGTGATCGCATACAAAGGTGGTTCAACAGAAAAACAATTTTTAAAAATGTTGACGACGAATGATAGAATTTTTAATATTGAAGAATACAAATGTCCAAAATATAATGATTTGGTAAATGTCATAAATTTAAACAAACGTTATGTGTGTAATAATCATATATTTGCAAAAAATAAACACAAAATTTTACATTGTTCTTGTGATGAAGTGTTGGGTTTCTTACAAGTGGTTATTACTTGAAAATAAAATTTTAAATTAATCATAAATTTTGTTTGATTTCCAAAAAACATTAGACAAAATTGGTTCAACAGAAAAACAATTTTTAAAAATGTTGACGACGAATGATAGAATTTTTAATATTGAAGAATACAAATGTCCAAAATACAATGATTTGGTAAATGTCATAAATTTAAACAAACGTTATGTGTGTAATAATCATATATTTGCAAAAAATAAACACAAAATTTTACATTGTTCTTGTGATGAAGTGTTGGGTTTCTTACAAGTGGTTATTACTTGAAAATAAAATTTTAAATTAATCATAAATTTTGTTTGATTTCCAAAAAACATTAGACAAAATTGGTTCAACAGAAAAACAATTTTTAAAAATGTTGACGACGAATGATAGAATTTTTAATATTGAAGAATACAAATGTCCAAAATACAATGATTTGGTAAATGTCATAAATTTAAACAAACGTTATGTGTGTAATAATCATATATTTGCAAAAAATAAACACAAAATTTTACATTGTTCTTGTGATGAAGTGTTGGGTTTCTTACAAGTGGTTATTACTTGAAAATAAAATTTTAAATTAATCATAAATTTTGTTTGATTTCCAAAAAACATTAGACATAATTGGTTCAACAGAAAAACAATTTTTAAAAATGTTGACGACGAATGATAGAATTTTTAATATTGAAGAATACAAATGTCCAAAATACAATGATTTGGTAAATGTCATAAATTTAAACAAACGTTATGTGTGTAATAATCATATATTTGCAAAAGATAATCACAAAATTTTACATTGTTCTTGTGACGAAGTGTGGGTTTTTTACAAGTGGTTATTGCTTGAAAATAAAATTTTAAATTAATCATAAATTTTGTTTGATTTCCCAAAAACATTAGTTATAGTATACTATATAATACAAAATTGGTTCAACAGAAAAACAATTTTTAAAAATGTTGACGACGAATGATAGAATTTTTAATATTGAAGAATACATTTTGTGATTATTTTTTGCAAATATATGATTATTACACACATAACGTTTGTTTAAGTTTATGACCACAAAAAAGTTTATTGAATTCGAATTGTTCATGAAAATAAAACTGTATACTTTTTAGAATTTTACTCATTTTTACATATGGAGTGGACGCTTAAAAAAGACCGTGTTGCAGTTGCGATTACGCGCCAATTAAATTTTTTGATATACTGAAAAATTTGAATATAACCAAAAGATTCGTTTATCGTACCATCAAACGATACAATGAAGACTCTAGTGTAGATGACAGGTCAAGAAGTGGTCGCCCTCGATTTGTTAGGACTCCAGCAGTGATAAAAGCTGTAAAGGTGCGAATTCAAAGAAATCCCAAACGTAAGCAGAAACTGTTGGCCCTTCAAATGAGGTTAAGCAGAACCACGGCGTTAAATGAAGACTTAGGGCTTCGGGCATATCGAAGGAAAACAGGACATCGTTTGAATGCTCGTCTAATGGATCTGAGACTGAAGAGATGCCGCGCTTTGGTGAAGCGGTACGCGGGAAAAAAAATATCGGGAAATTCTTTTTTCGGATAAAAAAATTTTTACCGTAGAAGAGAGCTACAACAAACAAAATGATAAGGTGTACGCACACAGTAGTGAAGAAGCGAGCAACCGTATTTCGCGTGTCCAACGAGGTCATTTTCCATCCTCGCTCATGGTATGGTTGGGAGTTTCTTATTGGGGCTTAACAGAGGTACATTTTTGTGAGAAAGGTTAAAAACGAATGCAGTTGTGTATCAAAATACAGTCCTGACGAACCTTGTGTAACTGTACGAAATTGTAAAAGATGGAACTGGAATGTTGATAGGACTTCAGTTTGTGGCGAATATTGCTTAATGTATTTGCTATATAAGTTTCAGGGGTGTTCAATGCATAGTTTTACGAGTATATTTACAGAGAACACATTGTACAACGATATGTTAGTGGATGAGATGTTTCGCTCCTATTTTATAGATAATAAGTAATAAGATTTTGTATTTTATAAATAAAAATTTTAACAAAATTAGGTAATGTGTTTAAAAGATGGAACTGGAATGTTGATAGGACTTCAGTTTGTGGCGAATATTGCTTAATGTATTTGCTATATAAGTTTCAGGGATGTTCAATGCATAGTTTTACGAGTATATTTACAGAGAACACATTGTACAACGATATGTTAGTGGATGAGATGTTTCACTCCTATTTTATAGATAATAAGTAATAAGATTTTGTATTTTATAAATAAAAATTTTAACAAAATTAGGTAATGTGTTTTATTGATGATTCAGATTAGTGTTGTAGATAGGAACAAAGGAGTATAATACAATAGCATAAGCCGACCCACACGCTGACGAATAATAGATAATGACAGTAGTCAATCAACAATAGATAAGTAGATAAGGACAATGGAGCGCTAATGACGGTTGAGGCTTGCAGCTGATATCATTTAGATAAGAGTAAATTGATCTGCACATCTCCGGAACCGTGCATCCTACGCAAAAATGGACCGCAGATTCGTGATCAGAGCATGCCAAAACCTTCCAGAACTGGTACAACCTAACTACTGAAGAAAAAGCAAAAGAAAAAAATTTGTTATAAAGTACTTTATTCATTTAACAACAAAAAGCTTTAATTTATAACACGAGTGATAACGACACCGAATAAGTACTACTTATTCAAAAGATAAAACTTTATTTTCAATATTTTATAAGAACTTTATTTTTATTCGGTGCATGCGGACCGGCCCAAAAAAGGTGACGCATCTCTGGCTGCCAGTGTCACATTTCTTTTAGAACGAACTGACATAACGCGCGTTTTGTTTATTTTAAAGGGATGAATTTGCAAAAGCTCAATATGGCGATTATAATGCTTCTAATATTTTTTTAAAATATGAAACTGTTATTAAATGAATTGCTGCGTTATCGTAAGATGACTGCATCGTAAGATTTTACGATGTATAAAGGAACCACAGACAATATATTATTTAAGAAACAAAAAAACAAAACATATGTGCTGAGTTAGAAGTGTGAATAGTATCAGTATTTAAATATTTGTTATCACATCTAAATTGAGGTTTTTTAAGTTATGCCTTTTGACACTCGGCTCATATCTGAGGTCATTATTTGTTTTTCTCAATCGATTTGGCACATACTATAGAATGCTTTGTTACCAATAAAAGGGCCTACGTTTCTCTACACTCAATAACTCAAAATACGAAATACATCATCATTAAGCTGTTATTTTACGCTGCTACTCTGTGAGAGTGTGGTCCTTCACCAACAAAGTCCACCCAAATTATTTCTGCAGCATAGCTCTATCGTGAAACGAATAAACCTATGTGGACTCTTACATTCACAGAATGTCATAATTTCTAGAACGTTCTACTCCCTCTATGTGTCATGGTTTGTTGCAGGAGAAACGAGCTCTCGAGGTCGATGTCTGCGCAGCCGAAGACCGTGCTTCCGAGATGAGCATTGGTACGCGGCTAATTGTATCCTTTACAGGATTCTGTCCAATAACAACGCCATAACGGTATCATAAAAGGTACTTACGTCTGATACTGCAATGTGACGATTAAGGCAAAACCCTATCTACACGAAGAGAGGTACATGTCCAAAAGTGATGAGTTTGTCTGTTTGTAATGAAAAAATAACATCTTTTTTCTAAATGCATATGAAAGCCTATATACAGTACTTGTAACAAAATAAAACAATTCTAAAATATTTTACTGTCTGTCGGTCTGTCTGTCTATTTGTTCCGGATAATCGTCGAAATGGCCGGGCCGATTTTGACAGGGTTTTCAATGGCAGGTAGCTGATATTATAAGGAGTAAGTTAGACTAGTTTGTAATAAGTATTATGACCTTACTGTATACTTAGTGGGTAACTAATTTGTTTTTGGCGGGAACTTGACCGCCGGCGGATTGCTGCTCTTATCTTAACGTATAAATTAGTATACGTAATGGTTTGAAGAGAATTTTGATATGAAAAAGTGGTGCGAATTTGTGTATTAAATGTCTACGCATGGACATATCATACGAACCTCAGCAACTCAGGATAATGTCTGCTTAGGTGCTTTGAGATAGATGAGGTGAGATGCTTGTCTGTCTGTTGGCTCAAGCTGCCGTCAATAATATCTCTTAAAAACTTCGCAATGTGACTGAAGAAGTTTTTAAACAAAATATTTTATTGAATTAAGTGTCAAATATACTGGCAATATTACAACTGAACGAGTCCAAAGAAGAAAAAGCTATATACTTGATTACTTGAAATCGTTGAAAGCGATGCAGCTTGGTCATCCGCACACACAGTAAAAACATAACCATCCTTTTTAGTCTGTACTTGGATAAACAATCGGTTGACAACGGTTGCGTATCGGCTGCTATGGATAAATATCCGTCGTCAACGGTTGTTTTACATCTATAATATGTCGGTATTGGTATTGGTGTCGTTGTATGTGTGTTTCTGTGTCGGTGTCATTGTCGGTGTCGATTTTCGTTTCGTTGTCGGTGTCGGTGACGGTTTCGATGTCGAAATTGGTATCGGTGTCGGTAGCGGTATCGGTGTGGGTGTTGGTGGTGTTAGTGTTGTACAGTACAATAGTAAAATGCTGCTGGTCCTCTTACGCTTGCCGAAGTTGATCTTGAGCGTGAGCAGCTTGGGCTTGCCGGCGTACCCTCGTAGCTCGCCTCCGCCTCCTCTTCCGGCTTGCCCGTCACCTGGTCGCCCTGCACACACAATTTATCATACTTACTATTGCTTTTTAATTTATCGTATTTATAAATAAACAAAATTGAAGTGCCCGTTTATAATGTCAAAATAACAACTTTTTACTAAATGCATACGAAAGTAGATGCGATACATGTAACAAAAAATAATATATAAAGTTTTTATCTGTTCGTCAGTTTGTTCCGGCTAATCAACAAAACGGCTGAACGAATTTAGACGACACTCTAATCCGCGCGCAGAACATGGAGTTACCTTCAGATAGATAGTACAATGTTAGAATAAAGTAAAATAATAAAAAATATAGATAAGGTGGGAGTTTTATTGCAAAATTTTACAATTACTGGAAAAATTGATGAAAAAGGTGATTTTTGTTAGTAAACCATCTTAATTTTGATTTTAGGGGTTATTTTTAGTTTCAATTTTAATTTTATATAGAGCTCCTATTACTTTCAGTTATAAATGAATTTATTTCATCGTAATAGGGCGTTTAGCTTAAGTTACACCTTTTTATGAAGAGAGGTCGTAGCGAATAATAATTTAAAAATGGCCGACGCAGGCTGGCACAACTGTCGTAATGAGCTGGATGCTGTGAAAGCATCTGCGAGTGCACTTGAGCGAGCGCTGTCTCTCCAGCGAGCTGCCGCTGCCGATCTGCTCGCACAGCGCGACTGCGCTCAGCACAGGGTAAGCTAGAATTTCCGTACCTATTTCATTTTTGTTGGAGATACGTAATATGATTTCTGCCGCCACTTACCTCTATACTTACCCATCAGACTGAAACACAGCAAAATAGCAGACTGACTGTGGCAAACAAACTAAAAGCACAACAGTTCCTGTTTCACGATATAACAAATTCACTATATTATAATCATAAGTTTTTCTTTATTCATAGAAACTTGTATGACTGTTGCCTTTGTTAGAAGAAGATAAAAAATGTTACTCTTACACCTTGTTACTCGTCACAAATTCTTTTCTTTTTCTCTCATAGGTTCAACACTTTAATAAGAAAGAAAAGTACCTATCAAGTCTGTAGTAACGGACTGCTATTTTGTAACAGTTTTTTGGAAACGTTTTTATGTGGACCTGGAACAGGCGAAACGGATATGCGATTTTAACTGTTACAGCCCACTCCGTAAACACAGCAGTCCAAATACTGTTATATGACAACAGAAATAGGATAGGGGATTGGTGCCTAGTAACTACAAAATGAAATCTATATTAGGTGGGTGAAATGGAGGCAGAGTTATCGCGACGACAATCCCTGTTGTCGTCAGCGGAGGCTGAAGTGTGCAAGTTGCGGCGCGAGGCCGAGAGCAAGCAGAGGGCGCTCGACTGGACCACGCGGAGGCTGAAGATGGAACACGAGTGAGGCTTTGCATACTTGTTTTTATTCTCTTGTGACTCTTTCTGTTTTGTTTACTGTGTAGTGGCGGTGTAAGAACATTTAAAATTAAATGTGGTAGAGTCACGCTGCGGCTATATTACGGTTGTAGTGCGAGTGGGTTGACTCGACTGAGGAAGAATCACACTCTCTATGTGAGATACCGGCGTAAAATAGCAGCTTAATGGCTGCTGGGTTTTTATGTTGTGTAAGTAACTCTTTTTCCTTACACTCACCATACACACTTCCTTAGGGGTAACAATGCATTTGTATTTTGATTCTTAAGGGAGGATAAATGTAAATGTCTATGGGCCACAGCATCCACTTATCTATGATGGACTGTGTACTCGTATATTACCCTTACTTTTGGTAATATTATTAAGTAGTTATATTTATTCATTTTTGATCTAATTCCGTGCCGGATTCGAACCCGCGGCCCTCAGCATCGAAACTCATTGCTAAGCCCCTGCACCACAGAATGGTCGTGTAATTGAATGAAACGAGGTCGTGGGTGTAGTGCGGGTGTGAAGTGCGAGGGCGCGAAGCGTCGGCTAGCGGTGCGCCTGGCGCGCGCGCGGCGCGAGCTGGTGCACCGCACGCAGCACGCCGAGCAGCTCACCGCACAGCTCACCGAACAGCTTGCCGCGCACCGCACCTACTTCTGGTGCCCCGCACCACTGCTCAGGTATGCACCACCACGCTCTTTACTTACCTTTACCTCACATCAACTTAGTACTACATGGACTAACTTTAACAACTGAACTGTATAACTAAACTAAACTAATCTAAACCAAATAACACAATTGTTAGAAATGTTTATTTTATAACACTTGCATGAGTAAACAACGTATTCGTTGTCTAATGGTTAATTGCAGTATGTTTTACTACTATAACGAGAGGTGTAATTTGGCTCACGCCGATCAATAAGAACTGCAAAAATAACAACACTTGGTAAAGAGTTTTTCATGACATTATAAAATAGGAACACTAGTACACACTGCACACACTACACACATACTAGTAAGCACTTACGGACTTATTCCAAAACACTGACTTAATATAGTACGTGAGAGAAATAAATACAATACACATGAGTGCGGTCGACCTTAGATGAGGTTCGACATACTCGTACAGTGTGACTTTGCTGCTACTATCGACCTTATCTAAAGGTCGACGAAGGTGGATCGCAAAAGCTATACGTGTTGTTTAGACCGTGCAAGTCTTCTATTACATCAATTTAAATGTATGCAGTAGGCAAGAAATTTGCATCATGTAAATGGCCCATAACAATCTGGAAGTCTTCGAGACAACAGTGAGTAGGCTTTTGTTACGCTGAGACCTGAGACAGTGCCATTTACCATCTAGAGCTTCATCACCACCGTCCATCAGGTGGGATTCTTATTATAGGCACTAGCATATGTGATATATTAAGAGGGATATTAGCAAAATTTACATTAATCAAACAAAAAATACCTTACAAAACCTCTTTAATGCTCTATAAATCCTTAGCTGAATCTGTTATACAATATGGCTTGTCAAGCTATGGGAGAACCTATAAAACATATCTAGATCGAATATACTCACTTCAGCTGCGCATTCTAAAACAAATAGTCCCTAATAATCTCAAAATTAATTTTAAAGATGATTATCGAAAGCTATTTGCATTTTGTAAAATTATACCTATTCACGACAAAGTTGAACTAACATTACTAACTGAAAATTACTTTACTGAAAATTTTAAAAAGGTAGATAAGTTTTTATACTCGGCACGCAGAACTGATAATCTAAAACTGCAATTACCTAGATTTTTTTTTATATAGGATAGGGTGACAACGAGCACACAGTTCACCTGATGGTAAGTGGTTGCTGCGGCCCATAGACATCTACATCTATCTTCCATTACAAATCAAAATGCAGATGCGTTGTCACCCGTGAGGACTGAGATGGAATGCCTCATTTCCAGTAAAAAGGGTCTCCGGTTCTCTACACTCACCATACGAAATACAGCAGCATTAAGCTACTATTTCACGCTGGTATTTTGTGAGAGCGTGGTCCTTCCCCGGTCGAGCCGACCCATTCGTGCTACAACTATACTACTAATATAATTGCAGCATGGCTCTACCACGTAAACTTATAACTTATACGGAAAAAGAACTTTAAACTATGTTATACCTAATCTAATCAATCAGTAATCTAAATCTTTGAAAGACGTCATTACACGTAAAAACATAAAATATAAATTAAATTTTTTTTATATACAATTAACTTACTAAATACTCGTAACACTTTAAACAACTTCTCGTTCTATATTATTGGTTTACTTTACCAACATATTATTATAAATTTATGAAAATATATGTTATAATCAGCCTGTATCACGATTATTCACAGAATGCAATAAGTTCACCTTGTGATGTTACGCTCATCGCCTAAAACTATTTTATATTTTTGTACCCACAAATAGTTTGTCAATTAGAAACATAACATTTAATGCACCTAATTTAAGTTGATAATAATATTAATGTAACTTTGGTAATGTAATGTATTATAAAGTGTTAATTAGAATAATGTGTCGACAGCAATGGTGTACGGAAAAACTCTAATGAGTTTATGTTTACACTAAAACTATTCATCTTTGTAATCATAAATTTCTTAAATAAATAAATAAATATAATAAGAAAATACCTACATGTAATCTCAGTGGCGATGGGGATCGACTGGCCTGGCTGTACTGTTAGAAATTAATTCCCACATTAATTACCTCATTCCCATATGAGATTTTTGTTTAGGATATTGGATGCGGCGAAAAACTTACTCCGTTATCCGACTTCCCTGCACGAGGCTATCATCTGGTCGCTCATACCGGCACGACACGGCTGTTAAGTATTATAGTTAAATAACTCGTTTTGTGATAAGATGCTGGGAGGTCAAAGCTATGAATGTTGTGTAAATGTAGACATACATTTGAAGAAGCTGAGACATTTCATTGGATTACTTTCTTTAGACAAATTTCACAGATGTAGTACAGAAACAGATATTTATAAATATTTTGTTAGATTATTAAAATACCGTTGCAATTAATTATAACTTAAAAATATTCGGCTTGGTTTTGCTGCTGAAAATTTTGATAATCTTATTGTTTTTCTGTGAGTAAGCTTCTTGTTTTAATAAAGATTTTTTTTTGTTTAAATTTCGGGCATATTTTTTATGATTATTTATGTAGACCTAAAATATTACAACGCTATATTCTGCTGCCAGTTATTTGTCCAACCTTTAAAGATTCTGAAAATGTAATAAATAAGGTAAGTACTTTTAGACATGTTTACCTAGGTTTTATAGGCTATGTTTAAGTATTTTTAGTTATTATAATTTTGAGGAAAATAATTGTTTGTGATAGATACGTTATTTAGAAACATTGTTTAGGTAAACTTTTAAGAGTTGTATAAAATAAAAAATATATTTGACAAAATCTGTTGTTTTCTTAGTAACATCACCACTCATATATGACTAAAATGATTTTAGGTCTGCCTACATACGATTTTATCAATTTTCTTATGTCATTGAATAAGTACACTTTATCGACTAGTTGGTAGTTATTAGGTAACATCCTAAGCTCTCTGAATAGCCGTTTTTGAATTGACGCGATGAAGCTGAATAAGAACGCGATCATAGTCAAAGAAAATAAATGCACGACATTATCGGAGATCGAAAGGAGAGTTTAATTATGCGTACGGCGTACTTACATAGGTTTTCTGCTTTCATGCTTAGACTGTTGCTTAAAGTAGCGTATTACCAGAGCTACCAGAGCAAATGTTGAGTCGTCTGATTTAGTGCAATCACACTTTGTATGGATGAATGTTTACAAAGATGTTGCTGTACTGGAAGTTTCAGCTTATAGTATTAATTTGATTATTCGCAAGGAACGCATGAAGGAAGTCGGTGGATGCAGGTGGCTCAGGACCGTGCTTTGTGGCATACCTTGGGGGAGGCCTATGTTCAACAGTGGACTTAATATTAAAGCACTGTAATGATGACGATTCGCAAGCTCTTAACCCGTTGTAAAAATTGTCACAACCTACTGAAATTTATAAAATTTCAGCAACTGTCGATGTCAATCGTGTTGATAGACTGATTTTAACTTTGTGAAAATTTGCCTACATATAGTATGATACCTATTTATTGATAAGGTACACTTGGTTAGCCATACAGTACGCAGTACAGAAATTTAAAAAAAATGAAATCCATGTAATCACATTGAGATATTATGCCATTCCCGTTGATTAGTGGCCGAGTAGTGGCGGTGTAAGAATATTCACTACTTCACATCATCCCGTGTGTGTCGCAGCGTCTTAAAATTAAATTAAAAATTAAAATAAATAAATATAATAGTCTTAATAACAGCTAAAATCAAAAAAATACGGTTGTCGACCCGCTCACCAAGGCTGACAACTTTGGCAACCCCCCCCCCTATGAAGTTATCTGTAGCGGAAGCCTATGTCCAGCTTTGGACTTTCGATAGGTAAACAGTAAAAGTTTCCGTTCTGTGACGGAAAAGTTCTTTTTGTAGTCTGCATGTCTTTAGAATAAAAAGGACGACACTCATGTTAATTGACATACTTTTTATGAACTGTCAATATTGAAAAAAAAACATGGAAACAAACCAGGAGATGGATAGCAGCGTCTTCTTAATAACAATAACAATAAAAAAATAAAACGGAGACAAAATATTTTTTTTTTTCATTGAAACTTCGCGTCTAGTGTGATTCCAAGAAAAATGGTGGTGTCGACAAGACTCAGCTCCTCCCCATTTAAAATTACAGTATTAACATGAAGTTATGGATTTCATACATTTAGTTTTAGTACCATTTAAATGCAAATTATTAACGTTAAACTAATTTACTATATTCGATATAGCATTATTTACAATTTGAAATTTTTAAAATTCATGAATTGTTCATAATCAGCAAATAACATTTCCATGCTTATCCCCTACGGTACTACGGATTTTACGGTACGGTTGTAAGGTAAGTCATTAAAATATACGAGAAACAGAAAGAGGCCGAGAATTGAGCCCCGAGGCACGGCTATTTGTACTATCGACCACGAAGAGCTCTCATACAATACGGCCGACGTATCTTGGCGAGTCCGACCTTCGCGCAGAAGGTTGCGCAATAGCTTTTTTAAGGAACAAAATGGTGGCATGAGGCGACGTACGGGGGGGCGGTGGTCTAGGCTAGAGATTGACCATAAGTAAACACAATCGACCCTTTAGTCATAAAATATCGCAATCGATTAGTTTTATTTAGAAGTTATTGATTTTTGTTTATATAAGATATTAAACGAAATAGATTTACAAATATAGTGAATTTTGTTGATAATAAACAAGATTTCGACTTAAATAAAAAAAAACTAAAAACATATTATTTTCTCAGCTGAAAGACATAATGTACTTAAATATCAATTATCTATTAACGTCTTCTTGAGTAACGACTATTTGAGAAAATTTAGAACCTCCTTATAAATTGCAAATAAATATATTTTTATGTCTTAATTTTAATCGATTTGAATAAAAATCGATTAAACAACACCCTCAGGCACGCGTGTTGGACATCCCTTTCTGGTTACTTCGTAAAGCTTCGTGCTTATTCGGCAATGCTCGGTACACGGTAATATTTCTCAGTCACACGTTAGCATTGGTGTCGTGTTCGTGTCGCTATCTCTGTCTTGAGCACAGTCGGTTACAAAAGTTTTCGTTGTTATTGTTGTTTGTTTTTATTAATAGTGTTAAGTTTGTTTTGTTTGTTTTATTTGTTTTATTTGCAAGTGTCAGTTAGCACTTATATTATTCGCCAAACATGCCACCAAAACATAACAGTGTGTTAAATCGCCAGGCGAGAAAAATTATTTACGATTTAACGCAATATATGAAAAAAGAAAAAGAAGAAGGCGTAAAAGATGTCGATAAAGTTTATTTAAGAGTTGCTAACGCAACTGGTGTGTCCCAACGCACAGTACAGCGGATCGCAACTGAAGGCAATATTTCGGGCTTACTTTCAGTATTCCGCACGCCTGGTAAAAAAAGGTCTAGATCAAAACCTATTACTGATATGGATAATTTTGACCAGGGAGTAGTAAAAAGATGCATACACAACTTCCACAAAACTGAAAAAGAAATGCCGACGATAAACAAATTACTAGCGAAACTCAAACGGGATATAAATTTTCAAGGTGGTAAAACGAGCTTAAAGACAATTATCAAAAACTTGGGTTTCAAGTGGCGAAAGACCGAAACCAATAGAATGGTTCTTATAGAGAAGACCGACATTCGCCTGAAAAGGATCTTGTACTTGAAGGCAATGAAAAAATACAGGGACGAAGGGCGACCAATTGTATTCACTGACGAGTCGTATGCCCACTCATCACATACAAAAGGTAAGGCGTGGTCAGATGGTTCCGCTCAAGGACTAAAGCGCCCGATATCAAAAGGTCAGCGGATAGTGATGGTACACGCTGGGTCAGAAGCAGGGTTTGTTCCGAACGCGCTACTAATGTTCAAATCTGGCAGCAAAACCGGAGACTATCATGATGACATGAATTTCAAAAATTATGAGAAATGGTTACGGACCCAACTGATTCCAAATTTGAGCCCTAACTCGGTGGTGGTTATCGATAATGCTCCGTACCACAACAAATTAATGGATCCTGCCCCTACATCTAATGACAAGAAGGCAAAAATGGAATCGTGGTTATTAGAAAAGGGTATACCATATGAAAAGGACATGCGTAAACCACAACTTTACGATCTAATAAAAAAAACAAAGACGTGAATAAAAAATACGTAATAGATGAAATGTTTAAACAAAACAACCACGATGTCCTTCGTTTACCCCCATATCATCCCGATTTAAACCCCATCGAGATGGTGTGGGCTGCCATTAAAGGGCACGTAGCCGCTAAAAACGTCGACTGGAACGTAACCCGGACAATGGAGCTCATACAAGAAAAAGTAAATTTAATGGGTCAGAATGAATGGAGTGCTTTATGCAGAAAAGTGCAAGAGGTCGAACATGACTATAGGAAGAGCGACCATATTATTGACGAAATGACGGATCAATTATTCATCATTAATACAGCTTCAGATTCAGAAAGTGAGTCTGAAAGTGAGAGCGACGATTACGAAGATGAACCTATGCCAAGTACCTCACATGGTACACAAGGGGCCGACGACTTTATGTTAGGAATTTCCCCCCTCAGCGACAGTGATTAAATAATAATAAGTGTAAATAAATAAAAAGTATTAAATGTAAATAATATTGTATGTGTTTGTGATAAAATCTGCCCCTATCGAAAGGTGAGGTATCAAAATTGAATCTTTAATTTATAATATCTCCAAAGTGTTTTGATATTTTTGGTCACTGTATTAGGGAAATTTTATTTGTACATTGGTATATATAAAAAAATGACAATAACAGTTTTCTTCACGAGTGTTCATGCGCTAAACTTCGCAGAGCCTATATTCAGACTCGCCAAGATACGTCGGCCGTATTGTACTATTAATGAAAACTTTTTGCGTTCTGTCACCTAAATATGAAATAATTAATTTAAGAGCATCACTTCTTACACCGTAGTGTTGAAAGTTTCCTGATTAATGTTTCATGGTGAACACAATCGAAGGCTTTGGATTGGTCACAGAATATATCTTTAATATATCTATAAATATAATTTTTTATTGTTCGCGGATGATCTCAAGTTAAGCCTAGGTGTAGATGACCCGTCTGACTGCAAGGCATTGCAAAGGGACATCGATGCGATTATGGACTTTTTTATAGGATTCAGACTTGGTAGGAGGCAGACTTCCCGGAACGTTGATGCTTCACATCAGC